CTGCATGCATAGATCCCTGTCTTGCTTGCCGGTGCTGTTCTTTGGACTGGCTCGCCCGACACCCTTCTAGTTGACTTGAGCCATTGACATTTTTATATTTTATGTCTTTTATTATTATTATTATTTCAAACAACCCCGGGACACGCACCCGGAAGCAAAGAGAGGGGAGGTCGTTGGCGCCAGGTTAGGATTCTAAATCGTTCTTCATTCTCGTGTTTGCTCAATTTTGAAGGCTAACGGGTTAGTTTTAACTACTCCGTACTGTATTCTGTAGTTACCTTTTATGTTCGTTTTGAAAAAGAAGAAAAGAAAAGAAAAGAAGGAAAGAAAATAAAAAGAAAGAAACTTACTCCCAATCATCAAATGAGAATTTAACCAGCTAACCCAGCTCCTGGCTCTTCTCTCACGCTGGATAGATTTCCACCAAATACCCACTCAGCCAGGTCCAAAACCCATCCAAAGCAACCATATCTATCTACCTTCAGAAATAGTGGGACAAGAAACAGGCAAACAACACCCCAGAGCACACAGCAGACAACACAACATAAATAAAAAGGCAGCCAAGGGGAAACAAAGGGCCAGTTAAGAGCGGCCTTTTGCCTTGCCTCCCCCTCCACTGTTGTCCAGAGGAGGGAGAATCCGCTGCGTTTCCCACGTGTCATCCATCCCCACTGCCTACTAGTACCAAGGCGGAACGTCGTGGCATGCTGAGGAGCGCGAGTGGTTGACGAGAAATTATCGTCTTCGCCCTGTTAATGCGGACCTCGTCGGAGAGCTGGAGCGCTGAATCCCACCATCACGACTGGGATTGGGTTCAGTTCTGGTTTTGTTCAGTTTTCTTTTTTCTTTTTCTTTTTTTTTTTTTTCAATCGTCCCTTTACTTTGTCTGTTACGCAACCACCAGCAAGCCCTTTATCCTCCCTCTCCCTCTGTACTGAGCAATATCTCCTGCTGTTCCCAGGTTAATTTGGGGGACGGCGGGGGGTGGGGAGAGGCGCAGAGAAATGCCATCCCCGCCACGCCAATTATTGCATTGCCTCTTTATGTCGTTGCCTTCTTCTATATGGATGTGAGATATATTATTCTTACCCCTTTTTCGTGATTCGCTGACATCACAACTTGGAATGTCAATGGACATGATACGTCCAGTACATGCGCAAGCACGTAAATATATGGTTTCCAATAGAATAGGGGGAAACAAAGATGGGACAGCATTCACTACTTGCTTGTTTCATTTCTGAAGAAGGAGAAATGAAAATCCAGCTATTTCTTACCCGCCTAGGTACACACCTGCCTTGGGTGATAATTTGGCCAGACGTTTCGGCTGGCAGAGGCAAATCAACCGGGTACATTTCCGTATTATTCCGTAGGGGGTCTCTGCCTATGATGATATGGGATTTCATGCTGGGCTCCGATCATATTGGATTTTGTCCATGGCGAAGCCGGTTGAATTTCATACCTCCATCAAGCCCTAGACACAAACATGCAACATGCGGAACTTGTCTGAAATTTTTTTTTTTTTTTTTTTTTTTTTTTTTTTTTTTTTTCACGCAAATTAATCGCCAACAAGCTCTTACGCTTCTTCGATTGGGGAATCTTTCATGTGTTTTGTTTTGATTTAATCTCTGTAGCTGGAGCCAGCTGGCGGTTGTCACTTGTCACCTCTCATGACATCCATGGATAGGGGCAAGGTCTAAGCAAGCACCATTTCCATATTCTTTTCATACACAGGTGCCTGAAGTAGGCCTCTGGTATCTAGATTGAGCCAACAGCAGCTATTGGCTTGCTCCAATTATAGTCCAATTCGCCGGATGGCGTTGCATGATTCCAACCTCCGGCAAGCCCTCTCAATTTTTCGTGTGTGCCTGCGTGGTTTTCCTGCAAGATTTATTTTAACATCTAAAGATCTGCTGTTTCTCGCATATCCGTGTCTTCATGCAAATTCTCTCCTCTGGCCGATTGAATGATCTGATTATTAAATGTTTCCTGGCGGCTAGAAGGTTCAAGGGGCAAGAAACGGCGCCGTCTCGCCCTTCCGCTGCTCTTGCCAATGGCACGCTCGACTCCCTTGGTTGTTTATCTTGTTATGCTTGTTGTTTTACGTGCAGGAGGCATGGCTTCTGATTCAGCACTGTTATATCGTGTGTGCAGAAAGCCGTGTCTTTTGTCAAATATGACCCAGTCTCTAGGGTCTGCAGATGCTCTGATTTGACGCCTCACATCCAGGTTCTGTACTGTTGATGATAAATGCAGAGTACATACGGGGCCCGCTTTGGTTTTTCTTGATTATCTTGCTTCTCGTTCGCCACTCTCTAGCTGGCCCTCCAGGTCTTCTTCTCATTGACCCACAAAAGAAACCAAAATATAATGACTGGCCACTTAGGGTTAGTGGCGTACTCCTATTCCTCAAGTGATAAAGTGCTCTTAGAAAATGATGCAACCCTGCAAAAGATCTTATTGCGTCTTCGGGAGAACACATCAACCCACACCTTCCTACCATGCCTACTCGTGTGCAAGAAATGGTATTCATTGGCAATGGCTGTGCTGCAAGCTGCTGTAGTTTTGAGGAATCAGAGCCTCTCCGGATTCCTGAAGATTGCAAGGCTACCACTCAGCTCGAAGTCTTATGCCATCCAATCGTTAAGCTTGTTGCTGGATGTCGCAGCCGGAGACCCAAGATCTACTACAGCTACGACCTGGCCCCTGGGCTGTCTCCTGAATGATCTATCTAAGATCATAGCTGGGGATATGCAAGCGCTTCGGATCTTCTCCCTGCGGGTCGACCATCAGCCAGTCGGTGCGCTCGACCTAGGGAGCGATGTTGATATTGATAGGATCACAGCTGAACCGGGGTTTCCCGCTTCCGCTCTGGTAGCTCTCATAGCATCTCTCCCAGTGACATGCAATGATCTTGAAATTGACACTTCGGGGTTCGAAACCTACGCTGACGGCGAACATCTATGCCCGCAAATTGCAAGGATGCTCCCAAGCCTCACCCACTTCCGCCTGCGGATTAGGAAACTCTGTCCTTGCTTGATAGACCTACCCGCCCAAAGCTCCTGTCCGGAATGTCAAGGTGGACTGCAGGTTCCTCTATGCCCGAAGCTCCGCTCATTGGTCATCAATATGGAGCTTTCCGGTGTGATCCAAAGGGACGTAACACGTGTTCGCAAATACCCCAAACACGCCAGCTGAGAGAAGGATGACCATGTAGAGACGACTACAGGTGGAACTTCCCACCATCTCATGCATCGGCCTCATGCGCAAAAACTGTTCCCGCTCGCTGAGCGGATAGAATCCACGCCCCAATCAACC